CAAAGAATTAGCTATTACTACAACAAATAAAGTAGCTAAACCTTAACAGAATTTTGTATTTTGTCCTAATAAATGATAAATTGACTCTGGAGACTCATTTGTAGGGGGAAGGAGTCTAGAGCAGGTTATCAATTCTTATCCAGAATCAAGAGGTTTTTGTCCTGGATGGTTACACGGTGATCCTGGATCTTACTGTTCTTTCCAGGTATGTTCTGAACCTGTTTCTTTCATTCTGTAATAGTGGACCATGTGGGAAGAAAAAATTCCTGAAGTTAGCTGCCTAAAAAGAATCCGCAGTACACTATCTGCCAGACTGACCCACATCCAGCAACGCTGGAGAGATTAGGAAAGGCTCGGGTTGCTGTTCTGGGAACCTTGGCTATGATGTAATCTGACAGGAGTACAATGGGCACCTTAATCCACAAGGAAGCAAAGCAACGGCTTTCAGGCTAATTCTCACTGTGGACTAAAGACAGCACACGAAACAGATTAGTCGAGGGTTTTGAAGGATCCTGTTTCAAACCACTTGCTATAAAATAAGGCAGATAGAATTACTAAGAAGATCTTTAAGCTCTAAAGACTGCTATTAACCCAGACAACTGATGCTGGCTGTACGGACAGTGTGTTAGCCATTTAGAAGAGATAGTTTAGCCAAAGCAGTGAGGGTCCTGGTAGAAAGAGATGCATTCCAAAGATTACCTGCAGCAGGCAGTCCTCTGAACTGGCGCCATGGTTCACTGGAAAAGGCATCCGTCCATCTGAAACAGAGAAGCCAGGCACGTCAATTTTCTCCGCATGCTTTCTCTTCCTGCCCACGCCCACAGGAAGTTTTAGATCCTTCCGAATACCACTGCCAATCCCATAAGAGGAAGCCTGGGTTTGAAGCAAGAGGCTGCTAATGAAGCTCAAGTGCGCCTAGACAGCCACCCCAGGAGATTCTAATCTACAATCAACAAGGTCACGCACAAGCTCAGTTCTGCCACAGTAATAAAGGGGCTTGTGCCTCATCTCTTGGGAAGGACCACAGAGCAAAAGTCAGACACACAGGATCTGGGGTGTAGAAAAGGTAGAGGCAAGAAGAGGACAGACTTGAGACTTTATCTGCCCTCCAATGACTGCAGACTGCCCCCTGCTCTCCTCTGTCCTTGTAAGCCCACGGGTGTGTCTCAACTTGGCAACACCACTGCACGGCTTTCTCCATTAATCCAAAGGGATGGACCTTAGAAGACAGATAATCTTTCTTGATGCCATAAACCAGTTAACAGAGGTCCAGATCCTTTTTACACAAATAAGGTCATCTTCAGGCACCAAGCCTTTTCCAGAAGTATCCTTTATCTGAAAAGGCTGGTACTGGGGATGCTGTAGGAGCAGATGGAAAGACACAGTCTGAACACCTACACCTGGAACTGATCTATTCTCTTTGTATAGGTTTGTGACCAGAGCCACTCTGTCAGCATGTCAGGTGACTGAGGAAATTGCTCTGGTGGTCTCCCCATGAGACCACTGTTATTGTGGCTTTATAAATAACATAGGGATGGGAGTAAGGGGCCGAGGGATGAGAAATTACTTACTGGGCACAATATATACACCATTTCAGTGATGGCTACACTAAAGCCCAGACTTTACCATTATGTGATGTATCTATCTAACACTTCCATCTCCTAAATCTTTTTCAAAAATCAAACGTTTTAAAAGCCGAGTGCCATAAAATCACACAATACTTCAAGAGAAATTAAGCCAGAAGAACGCATGAAACTATACTGGATCATAAAAGCGGGATGAAACCTACCAAGTTCATAGAGATGGCCGTCCACATTGTTAAACAGAATAAAATGAAAATTCACTTTGTCATCTACCTGAAGAGAGTGGAGAAATTTTATTAAAAATGAAAATAGTTGAACTTGTTCAAAATAAGCTTGCAATTCTAGCAAAATATGCATGAACCCAACTTGCTATTATTTTTAAAAATCATTACAGCTGATATTTGTGCATTTCCAAATACACTAGCCCTATTCTTACCCATTTAGATAGACAGACAGTAACTGTTAGAACAACTCTATGGGGATGCTACTATTACATACTTTTTACTGAGGAGATTAAGGCTCTGGGAAGGTAAGTGTCTCACCCATAGTCAAGATTAGGAGGTGGCAAAGCCAACTGTATGTATGAAGGCATTGTCATCTGATTAAGTTTACCAGTTGACTTGGAGGTTCCATTCAGATTCATGGGGCACTTAAGCCTCCTACAGATTACGTTTGTAGGTCTATCTTATTCTCCCTCACAGTCTGTGAGAAGAGTACTTGAAATGTTCCATTACTAGGAGAGGTATCACTCTACAATACTCATTTGGATCTAAACAAACAACTGTCCATTTAAATTGACTCAAGACTATTTCGACTCCCAGTTAGATTTCTGAAGAGCCACTTTTGCGAACAGGTCTAGTCATAGTTATTTGGATAAACTCCTCTGGCGTTAACCATCTGCAGGTGGGTGACCTTTGCTGATTCCAGTAAGGGTCCCTGCCCATGTGTCAGTGGAAACGCAGACAGCACGGGGGCAGCCTGGCTCTGATTTGTGTTTGCATTTACCCGACATTGGCCTTCCTGTGCCACTGCGTCATGGGCTGCCTGGATGGCCTGCAGGAAAGAGAGAATCATCAGCATGAACATCTCCAGGGTTATTTAAAAGCAATGCTCTGAATGGTCGCTTCCTACCTCATTCTTTTCAAAGCACTTGGCTCTGTCCTCAGGAGACATCTTCTCTGTTTCAGAAAGAAACTGCTTCAGGACTGATCCATCCTCTTAAAAAATAAACAAACAAAAAAAACACATGTACTAATACAGATAAAATAATACAAATACGTGCACATTTACTGCTGACTTATACTTTTGCATGGCTGGTGACGAGACCAACCTCATCTTTAATAGGGCCTCCAAGGATGTGGACAAGCTGTCCCTTCTCCAGCGTCTATTCCCAGCAACTCCCCGCTCACGGCATTCAAGCCAAAGTGGCCTATTTCGCCAGCGTGCCAGCTCCTCTTTGCCTCTGCTTCCTGCCGCCACTGATCCCTCTCCCCTTCCACCTCAAACGCATTTCTCAAATCTCTTACCACTTTTCTTTAGCACATAGCACTTACCTATTTGTTTGTAACAAACATTTGCAAGATTAGGCCATAAAGACAAGATAACTTTTCTAATGCTGTATCTGTAGCACTTAACAATGTACAGTTAACATCCACCACGTGGATAATGGATCGTGTAATATCCATGTACACGATGTGACAATCCCATTCTAATCTAATAACAGCTCCCAAACCGAGATTTTTTATTTTATGGTAGAAAATTCAATTTTTTTTGAGATGGTCTCACTGTGTTGCCCTCAATAGAGTGCCACGGTGTCACAGCTCACAGCAACCTCAAACTCTTGGGTTTAAGCAATTTTCTTGCCTCAGCCTCCCAAGGAACTGGGACTACTGGCAACTGCCACAACGTCCGGCTGTTTTTAAGAGATGAGGTCTTGCTCTGGCCCAGGCTGGTCTCAAACTCCTGAGCTCTGGGAATCCACCTGCCTTGGCCTCTTAAAGTGCTAGGATTACAGATATGAGCCACTACGCCCACCCCCAGAAAATTCAATTTTAGTTTTCAGTTATCCAGATAGAAATCTGAAGAACCAAATAGTACAACACAGACACAACAGGCTGGCTGACTGGTGGCATCAATATTTCATTACTGCTCCGAGTGGATAAACCTAAGAGATACTAATTGCACAGTACCTCAAGAGCAACTTGGGATTTCCAGACTTCAATATGAACTTAACTTTGTTAAACCGAGACCATTTTGAAATTTGGAAGTGATAGAAACCCTCTAATCTTTACAAGGAGGTAAATATTTGACACTGTCATTACCATGCTATAAAAGTTACAGCATCTCTGACCTCAGAACACAGAATTAAGTGAGATTTATGCAGAACAAAGAACCAAGCTGCAAAGTTTTAATATGGCTCAATCAAGTCAATAATTGGAAAAAGAAATCCCTAAATGATCAGCATGTTTATGAACAGAGAAGTAAGATCCCTGGTTACTAGTGGTTAGGAAATAAAAAGTAAAAATAAGTTTTTTTAATGTATATTCATAGCAAAGTCTTACTCATACTTTCCTTGTTTAAAAAAAAGTTTTTGATCTGCTAAAGGTTACAGTATAAACTATTAAAATTATTCAATTCCTACCCACTCCCTGCCCTTGTCTAAATCAGGAGTCTGCAAACTACTGCTGCCTATTTTTATAAAGTTTTACTGGAATACAGCCACATCCACTAGTTTATATCTAACCACATCTGTAGCTGCTTTTGTGCTACAGGGATAGACCACTTGGCCCTGAAGCCTAAAAGATTTACTCTCTGGCCTTTTAACAAAGTTTAGTCTAAATCACACACAACAGCCATGTTATTTTAACATATTCCAGTGCTGTTAACTGTACTTCTGACAAGCTTCAGGGCTGGGACCCATTACCCCTGTATCCTCCACAGCATTCGCTGGAGGGGAGCTAAGCCCTGGACTTGACTTGGTTCACAGCTGCATAGTTTGAGGTTTCCACCTGTTGCTATGTCTCCCTGCAGGAACTTTCACACTGTCCTGATGCTCTACACCGGTTTGGCTCTCCTGTTGCTTGTGAACCAATGAAGACAACTAGATGTCTGACTGCCTATTATCTTCTGGCTTAAGATCACCTTGAATTCTCCAGCACTGTTGAGAACTGAACGGCAGCATGTGAGAATCACTACACTAATTGGCCCTCCAGTGTTCAGAGCCCCTGAAGCTGTGTGCACATGCAACAGCCCATCACTCAGATGTTCACTCCATATGTAAGCAGCAAAACCAACCGAGCCTCTTAAATGAGTTTCCTCCCCTTACAGAGTAAGAATGCACTCAAGGATTCTATCTGGGTAAGTAGCAGCCACGATGAAGAAAGGTTTAAAAAATCCTAAGGCAATCGATTTGCTGAATAGACCCTGGAATGAAGTGTCACAGCGACTCTGCTTTCTAAACTCCACATTTTCCAGTTCAAATCAAGGACGACTGGTCTCAAACCCACACGTACCGAATTCCAGTTTGTCTCGGTTGTTGGCCACAGCGTGGATAAGTCCGATGGTGCCACATGAGTTCCCGATGGTCTGCTTCATGAAGTACACTTTAGGGCTAACTTCTTGCCCCTTCAGTTCCTCGATTTGTTTTTTCCTGAAGTTCTCATGCTGTCAATGTTTAAAACATTTTTATATCTCAAAATGAAAATGTAGAGAACAGTCGGCAAGTACAGTGAGTTCTAGCACCTACAGGGAAACACACGTGGGATGTGTGACCAGGAGCCGTGGTTCTAGATGCGGTGCCCAGAGGGCCCGTCTGCCTCCCACACCCACGCCAGGCTCCGAGAGGTCTCGAGACTCCACCCAGATGCTGCAGTGCAGTAACTGCCTTGGATGGTGCCCAAGGCTCCGTCTAGACACCACTGCAACCTTCTGTCAAGAAGCCAGCAAGCAAGAGACCAGTTCAGTATTTTCTTCAAGACCAACAACTGTGTTTCACATCCTAATCGAGCTTCAGCCAATTTAATGCCCCACAAGAACACCAGTGAGTTTATATTTCACCATTCCTTAAAGTTGTGTTTCTCTTCTGTTGAAATACACTTCTTGAAAACAAACCAAAAAAAGCCTAACTATTAAAAGGACCAAGCCAAAGAAATTACCTATTCCCACCCCCCTTTTAAGAGGAGGGACTTTACAAGACCAGGAGGTGATGCTGAGGTCAGATTAGCAATTTAGGGAAGAGAATGGAAACTGGAAAATGAGGAAGACCTCTGTTTAATGATCCTGTCTGGATCTTTCACTAACAAGTTTAACGACCTTAAGAGTTGACTTCTCAGTTAAGTAATGCCATGGAAACACCTACTTCTCACAGCCAGCAAAACTCACATAAGACATCAAAAGCATTTCTGATTCTATTAGCTTTGCATTACTCTGTACATAGATGTGAAGTTCAAGCTTGCTGTGTGGCACGAACGGAAAGTTCTTCTGTCCCACAAGATCAACTTAAACTCCAACTAGTAGCACATTCTCACATCCTGTCTACCAGATCCTTAAATTATTACTGAGTATTAACACGTTGCTGACTGGTCAGGAGTTACCTGGTAACATGAATGGTTTCTGCATATAATTGCCGGTCAAGTATATGTTAAGTGTTTTCACTTTCTAGGCTAATTAGATATAATTTTTAAATGGGACAGCCCCATCCTTTAGGGCTGTTTGAGCTCTTGCACAAAGATATTTCTATAGATATTGCACCATCATTTAAAATCAGATTTTAGAAGTGGCCCATTCAAGATGTTAGAATATTTCCTTTTCTTAGTCAAAATAATATGCAAAATTATCTTCTACATTACCATTAGCTTGTTTGGAAGTCAATCCATGGAACCTCAATTCTCCTTAAATTTGCTTCCGTGCTGTGCCCAGCAGGCATCTGGGTAGCAGGTAAGTGCTCAATAAATCTGATAGGTTGAACTGCAGCTAAGGAACCAAGTGTTGAGCTTGTTCACACACAGCCATTCAAACTAGATGTTCCCTAACAAGATCCACTTGGCCCAGCAAAAGGGAAACCCGGCTGCACCACTGCCTCCCAGAGGCCTTGGCTCTGAATGCTGCTCAAAACCCCCACGTCATCATGGTGGCTCTAATAGAACAGCTCTGCGAGATGCTTCAGCAGAAGCAGGAGATGGCTCGATGTGGTCATCAAGGAAGTTAATCTCACCAGCAAGGATTTGCCAGCTCCCTTTCTGCCCAAGTAAAGGCTTTAGCAACAAAAACATGTCAGTGAGATTATCTGAATAGCTCTCGTGTTTTTAATCCCCACAATACTTAGCTGATTTACTAGAAGGCAGGCCTGGAACTTCCCCTACAATTTGGTTTTAGGCTGAAGATGCTTCTAGAACATCTGGCCTTAAGATGGTGTTTCAGGTGGCCTCATTCTTTGTTTGCATGCTTCAAATGCTAATGTTCCAGGTTTTGCTAAAGCCAATTTCAACCATTCCCAAGTCGGGGATCAAGTGACAGGAACAGAAGATAGATATCGCTGTGCTAATTTCTGGGATTCCACACATCACAAGAAAACAAATATCCCACCTATGCTTTTATATCTGATGCTCGGTCTTTGAGGCACATATATCCATACACACTTGTAGGTGGGAGACTATCCACCCGGATCACGAGAAGGTGTTTAGGGCTGTGCTAATTAACCCCCTATTTCCTTTAGCTACCAGGTCAGAACAGGATGGGAAAGCTGAGGAAAGAGGTTTCTGCACAGAAACCACGCACACACAAATGGCTAAACTTTAAGATAAACAATGGAGAGGCTGAAAACCATGTGCAGGTTTCAGGGAGTGGTGGGGTGGGAAGAATCCCCTAAGTGCATCAGAAACCCAGGAAGTGGAGGCGGAGAATTAGAGAACCTGACAGTTTCCCCGTGATTCAGGCAAGCCCTCCTCTCCTCCATTTTCTAGCTAGGTGAGCATCTGAGAATCAAACAACAGTTGCCAGGTTACAGCCCTTAAAGGGAACCAAATAACCATTCCCCGCGTGGAAGGCTCCAAAAAAGCCTAAATTCGCGCGAACGCATGAGTAGGATGAATTACTTCCCCAGCTGACTGGAATGATGTAACTGAAACGCGGCCTCTCTTCCAAATTTAAAGCAATTCTAGATGGATGGGCGACGAGGCAATAAACGCTATTAGAGGTACCCTAAGAGCAGGCACCTCAAAAGGGCAGGCTCCGCCCTCCCTGGGAGGTTCGTCCTTGGTCTCCTCCCCGGAGGGAGCGTCAGGCTGGGTCCGCGCGCCCAAGCCAGGCGGGGACCGGAGCCCTCCACGCCGGTTTGGGAGCAGCGTGCACCGCCGGGACCCGCGCATCCCGGGCCCCCGACCTACCTGGGCCGTGAGCGGAAACAGCAGCAGCAGCGCGCAGGCGGGCGCTGGCACTGAGCCCAGAGACTCCTCCTCCAGCCCCAGCACGTCCGCGAAGCGCCACTGCCCGGCGACCCCCAGCCGGGCCAGCACCTGCGGAGGGGAGACGAGCGGCCAGGCGGACAAGGACAGAGTGGTCACGAGGGCCCGCGGAGGGCGGGGCCCGCACGCAGGCCCCCTCCGCGCACCCACGCGAGCCTGGGAGGAGCCCCGGCCCCGCCCTGCCGCCCCCACCCCAGCGGGCGCAATGACACAGCACAAAGCGCGGCCCACACGTGGCTCCCGCGAAGCCCGTGGAGACGCGTCTCCGCTGCCCGCGCCACGCCCTCGGGAGCTCCGCCCGGCGCTCGCTCGCAGCGGGGCGCAGCCTCCTCCATTGCCCCCCGATCGGGTTTCTTAGAATTACCCCCCAAATGCAAGGGTAGAAAGAGAGTGCCCAGCCCCCGCCCCGCCGCCCCTGGAGCGCGCAGCGCGCAGCTCGGTCACAGCCCATAGCCAGAGCCACTGGCGCCTCCGCCTTGGCGCTCCCGGGGGATAGAGGCAGCACTAGACGCCACTCACTTTGTTCAGCATCTGAAAGGCAAAGGCAAAGAAAAAAGAAACGATAAAACAAGACCAGCCAGCGATATGGCCACCTGGCGAGGCCTGCCCCTCAGCCTTGCGCTCTCTGGGCCACGGTGCACCTGGCGCTCACCTCGGGGTTAATCTCCATCGGTTTAAGCTGCATCTTCGCAAGCGAACAACCACGCCACCACCCAAAGAAGACGAAAAACAGCCAGCGGAGCCGCCCAGGCTGCCGCTATAAAGCGCCGGCCAGACGCACTGTGGATGCCTGCGCAGGGGGAGCAGGGGCAAAACCAAGCGAGGGGGAAACGGCCGGTCGCCGCCGAGTGGGTGCGAACCCCCCGTACGCCGCGCAGAGTGGTACGGCCTGGTCCCCAAACCTTGCAGTCTCACTCGCCGGTGAGATAATCTGGTGGTTGTGGAGATGGGTTTTGTTGGTGGGTGTTCCTTGAGTGCATGGAATGGTCCTTTTGCTGGCATCTTTAATTTTTGGAGAAGTTTCTGGAAACCCACCTTTCTGCCATGCCAATCACCCGAAAGCTTGGGTCTCTGACGCCTTGAGAAAAAGCACAAATTTCAACAGGTATATATTTAATATGAATATAAATGTGTGACCCTCAAATGTCGCAGCAGTTTGCATTTAACCTTAAGCAGTTCATCCTCCATGTTAAATCAAACCAGGACCAAGGCGCGTGTTTGATTGACTGCCTAAGAGAAACATAATCAGGTGTATTGACAGATAATGCCTTAGTAATGCTGATGTAATGTGACTTCCCGGGGAAGAAATGGTTGGTCATGGGGAAGGGGTAGAAACCTGGGGTGATAACCAAACACAGAGAGGAAAAGATAGGTATGATATCGTACGGGAGGCCGTAAAAGGAATAACATTTCTGAAGAATGGGAGGCTTTGAAAACAAAAACATTCTGAGTTCACGGTAGAATACTCTCAGTGAAGAAGAAAGGGAATGACAAGTAAAGCATCCACTGTTCTCTAATATTCAAAAGATGGAGAGAAAAAGCATATACTCAAGAATGAATAAAAAGAGGAACTAAAATCTGTAAGAATTATGCCAGGAAAGCTAAACTGCAGAAAGAATGAGGCCTGCAGAAATCCTGAGGAAGCTAAGGGATGGAGAAGCCTGGGTGTTTTTTTAAAATATGCTCAGAACAAAAAATGCTGGTGGTGAAAGAATAGACCTGCCTCTTCGGAGGTCCGAGGTGGACAGATAACAAAGGGAGGGGAGACAGTCCTCACTGGCCGAGTTATTGCCCCTGCTGTGGCGCCTGGTCTTTGTCATCTCCCTTAGTCCTTAGAGGAGCCAACGAGGGAACTCTTACTAGCGCTGTTTTACAGATCAGAATTCGAGACTTAGAGAAGTTAATTGGCTTAAGGTTACAATTGGAAAGTAAAGCTGGGAAGCCCTGGTAAATTGGGCTCCAAGAGGCCGTTTTCTACCCAAGACTCCATTGTAATCTACTTAAGTTTCTTTCTGTGTGTGATGGCACACACCTGTGATCCCAGCTACTTTGGAAGTTGAGGCTGGAGGATCCCTAGAGGCCAGGCGTCCAAGATCATTTTCACCATTAGAAAATGACCTTCACACACAAAAAAAGAGAGAGAAAACAACATTAGAACTTAACAGGTAAATTTTTATGCATCAATAAAGTTGTTAAATAAAAAAATGTGAAGATCCAGACAAGTGAATAGGTTAAATTAAGGGAGTTCTTGCCTCTAGGCAAAGACAAATTACCTGCCCAATTTACTTTATTCATTCATTCAACAAATATTGATAAGGACCCTACTGGGCTTCTGCTGACCACTGCTCTTGGAAAGCTTGGAATTGCAGATACAGAGGTGAACACAGAAAATATGCATGAAAATTTCCCTCCTGCCGTCTTTAACAGCAAAGAGTTCTGGGAAAGGGAGCAGAGATCAGGAATATGGAACTCCATAGGGGGATCAGGCTTTCTGAAGGCAGTGAAATTTAATCTAATGGTTAACGGACAAACAGAAGTTAGTAGTTGGCAGTTCATGCCAAAGAAACTAGTCAAAGTAGTCATGAAATCACTGTCAGGAATCTTTGTTGAAGGCATGCATTCATTCACTCAATAAATATGTATTGAGGGCCCTTCATGTGCCAGAAAGCATCAGAGGAGTGAATAAAACAACTTTCTGCTTAAAGGGACATGCCAGAGACTGGACGTGAACAAATCTGAACTTGATCGTTAGGAAAAAAAAAAAAAAGTAGAGAGTGAGTGTGAACGTATTGCTCAAACTGTAGGCCAGGAGATTTTATATTGGTCATTAGGCAAATAGTAGGACTCATTATGTACAACTCTAGAATAACAGGATGGATGAATTCAGAACAAGTTTTGCCAGCCAGAATCGATTGATTGATGATTGATTGATTGTGTGGGGTGGGGTGGGGTGGGATGACTATTGAAGGGACAGGAAGAACCCTGTTCTCATTTTGGGCTTCATGCTGCTGGGGTTGGCTTTGGTTGCCATTATAGATTATAGTTGAATTGGTTTTATAGTTTAATTGACTCTGGCTAAAAGGGGGGCTGCTGAATGGGGTTACTTTAACCTGTAGCCACCTGACAATGGTTTTAACCCTGACTCGTGCCATTGTATTTGATTAACGAGATTGAGTGCATACATGCAAGCAAGAATAAACTATCTAAATGTCAAATTATGAGATTTAGAAAAGTAAGTTAAAAATAAAATGATTTAAATTTCATAGGGCTTGGGGTGATGGTTGCATAACTTGTGAACATGTTAAAACAAGTGTAAGGCTGGGTGTGGCAGCTCATGCCTGTAATCCCAACACTTTGGGAGGCCTCAGAGAGAGGATGGGCTGAGGCCAGGAGTTTGAGGTGAGCCTGAGTAACATAGCAGGACTGTCTCTAAATGAAATGAAATGGCTGGGTGTGGTGGTGTGTACCTGTAGTCCTAGCTACTTGGGAGGTTGATTTCGGAGGATTTCCTGAGCCCAGGAATTCAAGATTATGGCGAGCTATGATTATGCCACTGTACTGTAGCCTGGGTGACAGAATGAGACCCTCTCTCTCTTTCTCTCAAAAATAAAAAAGAAACTTTAAATGGATTGATGCATTTCTATAACACTATTAAAGTTTTAATAGGGATATGTGTAAAGCTGTACATGACAATTACCATAGTACAGTTGATCTTTGTTTTTTCTTCATTCTGTGGTTACAAAGATATGAAAAAAATCAAGTGAAAAATAAGTCATAAAAGGTTGACTCTATAACCATTTAAAAGTAAATACATGGAGATCAGAAGGAAAAACATTAAAAAATCAATTAAACATGTAAACTGGCTTTGTAAGCATTTTAGGTGGTATAATTTGACTGTAAAGCTAACACAGTCTTCATCTATACCAAGAGTGAGGGGTTCAACTTTATTTTAATCACACTTTGTTCCTGCAGTACTGCCTTAAGAATGTACCTGAACTCAATGCTGTGATTGATTAGTCATGTCTGCGGTAAGTCTGAGAAAAGAAAATGGGAAGGATGATCAGATATTTGCTGCCCTTTGATGACAGTACTATTCACAGTCTAGTCAGGGAAGGAAATTCCCCCCACTGAATTGGCCAGATTATCACAGGATTATGATGTCCAGTGCCTGACTATAATAAACACTCAATAAATCCTTTTCAACTGAAAATTTTAATGACTATCCTTCAAGAGAGATGCTGACATATTGGAGAGCTTACAGAGAGAATGAAAACAGTGAGCAAAAGTAGTTGGAGAAACAGAACACAGCCTGTGATGCAGAGCAGAGAAAGGACTTTTTCTTTTTCCCTGGAGGAGGGGAATTACGTGATACTTATGTTCAAAAGTTTAAAGAGGGAGAGAGTACTCTTTAGGTTTACTTAACAGAATAGGAGAAAGGTAGAAATCAGAAGAAAAAAATTATATAAGTGAGCACTTAATACTTAAAGTG